TGCCTTCAGCAAGGGGGGATGTCACAACCCAAGGGTGTGATTTTTGTTTGTGTGCGCTTCGGCACTGCTACATTATTTCCCGCCACTCGTAGCTTTCTTTGCAGGGTGCATTTCTTCCTTGCAACACAGAAATGCACGTTGCAAGGAGTTCCCGCCATTTGTATTCAGATTTGTGCCCCACTATTGGTCAGTTCTAAATTATTCCTACGTGGCGGCTAGCGATTGGCTTTTCTGCCCTATAAAAGGCTTGAGTGGTTTCCGCCCAAGTTGGAGGACTCCACGAACATCAGGAGGAGGAGACTTCACGTCTCGTGAAGATCTCTAAGCGCTGCGGAGCCTATCGGACCCAGCGTGCATTTCAAGAAGGCAACAGGGGTCTGATCAGCCTCTAGCCTCTCCCCATCGCCGAACGATCCCTCGACGTACCCTTCCCTGCACGCACAAGTTCCACGGAGCCTAGCAAACTTCGTGCGAGTGAATCCAGAGCTCTGTCCGAGTCCTTAAACTGGGACTTAAGCGAAGTTTTCCTGGAAGTTTTCCAGCCTGCACCGCGACCATCTATGGTGTAAGTAAACAATCTTAAATCAACCATTAAGCGTCCATGCCTAATTCTAGCGTGCCGCCTGCCTTCCCCGACCCGGCGTGTCCGGGCTGCTGGCCACAGCCCGCCATGCGAAAAAAAAGGGCCTCGGACCCCTCCCGGCCCGCACATGCACGTGTGTGTGTCCCTGCTTCCAGGTATTGCTATTAAGTTTATGTGGAAGATACTTGGACACAACAGCAAGGGGCAGCAGTAAAGGCAGGAAATTATGTCTGGAGATTATGTTTGTTGAACAATGTAAATAAAATACATCGGGGCTGTTAAACTAATTGCCCATGGGCCACATACAGGATGCAAGCAATTAAATTGTAGCCCCCAGGCTCCTGCCTGCTGCCACTTGCTCTTTTGCTCTGGGTGCAACAGCAGCCAGTCTGTGGGCTCCCTCCCCCTCCACTGACTGGTGCTTCCTGCCTCCGCGCCATGGGGGCAGGAACAGTGTGGCAAGCTGTGTGGGGAGCTGAGCATCAGTGGGGTGGGGAAACAGAGCTACATGTGGGGGATTGTGCCTACATGGTGCAATAGTAGGGGTGCCTCCATGGGCACGTGGTGCAGTGGGGCCCTGTGGCTGGACTGGTATGGATCATGCTATGTGTGGCCCCTGAAGGGCTTGAAGTTAGAAAGCCCTGAAATACATTAGCTGGATGGTGCATTTTATTATTTTTCTCCTTTTGGGCAGGCTTTCCTGGTCTTACTGCAAAAACCCTACCATTGTCTCCCGCTTCCAACCCTACCATTGTCTCCCGCTGCCATCTCTGATACATCATTTTACAGCTCTCAGCCTCCAATTCGATTTTGAAATGAAGACAAGTGGCTGCTATTTGTTTTCCTGGGATGTTCTTTATAGCAACACAACTGCTTTGTGATTAAGCCAGGGATCCTGTCCTAGTTATCTGGGCCACTCTGGAAACCAGATCCATAGCTTAGGCAGTGCAAGCACTTCATTCTTACAGATATATGACAGGCCACAATTTTATGCCTTTCCTCATATGTCAAATCATCAAAAACTGTTTCTCTCTAGCAAGATGCCTCAAGTCCTTCAAAAAGCAAGATTTGTGACTTCTTCTGTAGGCTTTACAAAATATTGGTACCCTTTCTCTGTGAGGCAGTAGTTCAGTTCTCTCTCTGAACACAAAGCAGTGACACTGCAGTTTATCAGATCTCTACCTGCCTCCATACTAGTGTAGTCCTTCCTGACAGTGTTAGCCCTGAAGGTGAAGTGCCAGCTCTGACATTCATAGCAGAAAATGTATATTAACTGTATTTGGAGCTGGGTGAATGGCCTACCAACATCAGTTTACAAAGGACAGAAATAGCATTGCAATTAAACATATGCAACAAATTGCATGTGAAGCAGTTGTGTTACACAACTACATACCTCTGTCATTTCCAATGCTTTATTGAAACCCAGGGACAATAAAGTAACCCAAAGGTCACTGGGATTCCCTTCACGGTCATTAGCCTCCATGAGATTCAGATCCATAAAGCCCTGCCTTGTTAGCTCATTCTTCTTTGTGTCAAAATTCTCTGTTTAAAAAGAAAAATAATGTAACTCTTAAATGGAAACAATCCTGTTATGGTCCCTCTAATCTTTCCTAAACAATGCTCTCCGCGATTTCAGTGAGGACTGCAAGATTTGGTCATAAGTCTTACAGCCATGGGTCTTCCAAAACTGTGTAAAATACTAAAATGGTAAAGAATACCCTTGAACTTAAAATGCTCTGTTTACAGGGATTCTCCCTTGTTTTTAGGGAAGAAGGAACAACTGGATTTTTGTACAGCTTAAGAGAAGGAGGAATGTCAAAGTGTAAGTGTGGCTTAGAAGATATCTCTTCCTGGAAGTAGTTGTGGTAGGGTAAGAACTAAAGGAAAGGGGAATATCAGGGACAGGAAATGAAAGCTTGGTAAAGCAGTTCCCTTAGTAACTTTGGGGATTTGATACAGAAATTGGTTACTTATTTTTTTTAAATCCAAAATGCACCACTCTTGATAGAATATGGTGGGTCAACTGCTCTAGTGTCTGCAAACACCTAATTGAAATGTTTTTATGTCAGTGTATTCTTCTCATTGCAACAAAGCTAAATCTTCACTATACATTATTAAAATGGATTACCAATTTAATAAATCTATCAAAGAGATCAGATGCTATTATAAACTGCTTGAACTTTGCTCTCATGATTTATGATATTTGTCTGGACCCTTCCACTGATTAATGACCTAGTAATCCATCTACCATGCTCCTATCCCTTTTCCCCTTTCCAAGACGCACAAAAATATAAATAAAGGAATAAAAATGGGTAACAGAATCTAGAGGCATAAAAGAGGAGAGAAGCTGATTAAAGGAAAACAGTCTCTACATGAGTTCTCTAGAATTTAGGAAAATCTCCAACATACTTTTTTAGAAAGAAATATTTAGTATTTTAGAGAGAAATATTTCACAGAACCTAGGAGACATATTTTTGTTCCACTTAAGCAACGTGTCATGGCCTACAATGTTCATAGAAGAGGCTATAGACAGCTCCTGACAACTAGATTTGATTTGTTTAGCCACATAGTCACTCATACAGTCCCCATCATTGTAATATCAGAGCACTGTACAACCATGAATGGATTTATCTTTCTAGTTCCCTTATGAAGTAGACCTATTTATCCTGAGGGCTTGAAAGTACAGCATAACCAATTTTTAATATTAAACAATGCCAACTTCCCCTGAAAACTGGCATTTAAGACCAAATACTGCCCTTGCGTGGTGACAGGACTCCTGTTGACATTAACAGCCCCCACAGATCAAAGGCAGCATATGGCTGTAAGAGTCTTAAATGTCTGGCTACCTTTCAGGCCCTATTGCAGAAGTCCCATTTATAACTGTGAATAGAGCAATATGGACAATTTTGTAAACTGTTTATGAAACATCTAGCAAATGTTTTCCAATGGAACTGTCTGTATTAGCAGAAACACTGCTCTAGCTGACAAATGGTTGAATCTTAATAATAACAGTTTAATTAAAGGTTTTAATGTTACAACCACGTTACACACATTGATTATCTAAGCCACACAAACAGGTAGTAAGGTAGGAAGGCATATTCACCTCCAAGTCACAGACACAGAACCAGAGGCAAGAAGTAATCACCAGAGAGGAATTCAGGACAAGAGTTGTGATTAGCAGCTTAAAGTTCCTCACAATCAGTTCTATGGTCAGAACACATCCCACCATAAAATGTCTGCAGCTTTAGCAACAGCCATGGGAAGCCTTTCTTTTCCACTTGGACTACTAACCATGGACATGGCGGATATGCTGGAAAGAAGAAGAGCTAAGTGATGGGAGAGTGGAGGGAAAGACAGAAAAAAAAAAAGAAAAGGAATATAAAGAGGGAAAAGAAGGTAGCTAGAGAAGAATGGGGCAGGTGAACATTGTTTACCATTGTATATACACATTTTGGTATGGACTACTAGGTAATGATTGTTCATGTATATTTGTATGCAGGTGCTGTCATCAATATATGAACTTAGATAACTTCTCATTATGACTTTATTTCTAGTAAATTAAAAGGAGTAACAAAGCTTACCCTTGCATATAGCCCAGGCTTCCTCATCACATTTCTCACCACTAGTCCTTAGTTCAAAGAAATTATATTCATCCAAGCTCAGTAGGCCATTCCCATCTAAATCAATCACTTCAAATATATTTGATAAAGCTGTTCTGAAAGAAGGCAGCAAAACAATTTTTGCATCAGTTCTCTCCTTGTTCCGTTGCTGAGAATTATTCAATATTTGTAAATGCTTTCACAAAACTAGGACTCCCAGACAGAATTTGTTTCAGTAGCATAAAACTATTAGCAACATAAAGAAAATTCAAAGCACTGATCTTATAATAGTTAGGGTGCTGAACTACAAATATAACTCACCTGAACTCTTTAGTAAGGCCCAACTCTCCATCTTCCCCTCTATAAACCAGTTTCACTTCTCTAGTTATTTGCTTCTTTACCTTCTTGAGCCTACAGCCAGTTGTGAATGGAAGTAGCCAGTAAAATCCAGATCCAAGTTCCCCTTTCCACCCATACATCTACTCTTGAAGGAAGATGGAAAAGTCTGTGAGCATTATTTATTTGAAGCCTTCCTTTCAAATTAGTTAAAGGCACTTACAACCTATTAGAGACCTCACACTTACTTTCCTTACAGAAGACAAACCCCTATGAGAGGCCTTCATGATGATAAACACTGGCAGACTTGCTAGTCACAGCAATAGTTAGCAAGCTGTATGGGACCAGAAGCACGCTTCAGGACTTTCAAGGCTAGATCCATTTAATGACATTTCTACCCCCAAAAAAAGTGTACTAATTTTAACACTTTTTAAACTTCAAAACAAATATCTTCTTGCCAGATGAGGCAGGTGGACAAAACCTACTAAGTTTTTTACTCTTTCCACCTGCTCATATAGATTGGCCATAGACCCCGATCCATCAACCTGGCTCAAATTTGCAGCAAAGATTTTGCAGAAATCCTTCAAAAGGTTCACAAGTGAAAAAAGAAGCAAGGGATGAACCTGCCTTGTGACTAAGCCATAGGGTTTAGACTCCTGAGAGCACAGTTCAAAATCTGTCTCTACAGATTACCCTTGTAACTTTGGGTTTGTATGCTGACATTATCCCCTCCCAAAACTACAGAGCCTTAGCTGTGCTGCACTGACTATGACGTGTAAGTAAATGTGGCACATTCTGTGCCCATCTCCTGTAAAACTGCAGATTTTTGAAAATCAATACAAGATAAAAATCAAGACAAGATTGATGTCTAGCCTCTTTATTTTGCTGATCAGTCAAGCCCACAAGCTGTAGGTTTTCCTGGCTTTCATTTTCCTTCAGAACATACAAAGCTGTGTCCACTGATAACCATGGGGAAGGTTTCCCTAGAAACAAACAAAAACAATGTCAAACTGAATGTTTAATAATTGCATAGTATTTGGGCAAAACGTTCCTCTTAGATTCATATGGAAGATCTTTCTATTATGTCATATTTTCCTGCATATCGCACAACCCCACACAAGGCACGTACCTTGTTTTAGGAAAACAGAATGAAGACAAAAATATTTTTTCAGAGTCATGGCTAAAAGCTAACCACTTGTAATAGCTCACTGGCTGTGTCAGGTAAAAGCTCATTTTAATCCTTTCACAGCTGCTGCCAAGTGCTCTCTCAACTGCTGCTCAGCCAAAAGCTGCTGACAATTCAGCAGCAGCTGTGAGCGGATTAAAACTGGACTCCACCTCTCCTGAATGCTGGCTGGAGACAAGTGAGAGAAACTCAACAGTGGCAGCCATTACAGTGTCTCCGTGCTCCTCTTTCAATGCAGAAATCAGCTTTCCCACTGACAATACCCACCCCAATATTGGAGGGCTAATTTTGGGGGGGGAAAGGGTGTACGTGGTATGCAAGTAAGCGTGGCACATTCTGTGCCTATTCCATGTAAAAAAGCCTTGTTGACCTCAATGGAAAAGCTGCATGCAGAATGAGTTCATAATATGCTACTGGGATTCCCCAAGCAGATTGGAACAGAGAATTTGCTGTTAATTTTTGATACAGTGTAATTATCATTAAAAAGTCTCAAATGCCAAGTGTTTGGCACTTAGGAAAGTTACTTTAGCTTTTAGCCATAAATACAATAACATTTTTTATTACTTTTCTTTTTGTGGAGGCTCTTAAAACAATTAAGGATTACAATTAAAGATAAGACAGCAGTCTTCTTGAGTGGAAAGCTAGCTTTTATTTTGTTAATAAAGGGGAAAAACCTTGGCAAATTGAAACACGTGGCAATAATTATCTATACCATAAAAAGTCAGTGAAGATGTGTGATGTTTCTGCATTTTGTATTTAATAGTCATTGGATCAAATGGATAGATAGCTGGAGACAAGTAGAGCACTGTCTAGGGCCCTTGCACTTCCACCACAGTAACCTCCTCACTTGGCCGAAGAGGCAGTTTTGCTCTGGCTTGCTCTTCTTCTGGCTCTATGCATCTTCTCCTCTTGGCTCCTTTATGGACCAGCTTCAAAAGAAGGAACTTTTGGGCATGCCTAGGTCATTGCCTAATAGCTAAGGTACTTTACTGGGAAGTGGTAGACGTGGGTTCAAATCCCCCCTCACTGAGGTGGGGAGAATGAGAATCTGGGTCAGACACTTCCTGGGCTAATGCCGTTGCCATTCAACTACTGGGATAATAGTTAGTAGAGGTAGCTTGAAACTGGCTACACTCTGAGTTAATGGTGCCCATTTATTATTTTCCTTCGTTTTTAATTCTCTAATATGCTTTTAACATAATGGGTAAAGAAATGTATTTGTTTACAAATACTCAGCTCTGTATGAAAACTAGGTTCCTTTTAAGTACCTCAAGTTAAACAACCACAAATCGAGGCACCTAAAACCTTTAGCTACTTATGGAATCTTGGCCATAATTTTTAAGTTGAGATAGTCCTTTTAAATGACCATACAATATAAGTGCATGGCATGAACACAAAGACACAGGCAACAGAAACAGATCAGAAAAGCCTACAGCTTCAGGGCCTGATCTACACATTTAATAGGGACCTGTCTAATGACTTCAGTGGGCTTTTAACCATTCCCTTATTGATTAAATATGACACTGTGTAGAAAGCCAGAGACTGGGGGACCTAACTTGCAAAGGGTGAAGTATTTAAGCCACCCATGACCATATGCCACCTATATCATTACATACTGCAATCCACTTTGCTCAGTAGGAACACTACTGGTAAAGCTAAGGGTAGATTATGACCATCAAGCCCTGATGCCCATATTATAGTAATGGAAGTACCAGAACTTTAATGCATTAGATTTGACCATCACAGAGTATTTTGCAAAATTATAAGACTATTCATGTGCCTCCCAGACCCACCTTCTGATTCTCCAAAAATATAAATACACTTACCTTCTAACTGGCTAAGACTTAAAGGTTTAATGGTGATACACACTGTTGATTTCTGAAGTAAGTGCATCCTATAGCTATGACTAATGATTGTACCATCTTCCTCTAAGTAAAAGCATCCTTTGGACTGTGCACATTGCCATTCCTGTAATCCAAATGAAAAGGTGCATAATATCAGTTCATCTGGGTCTTTAATCCTCCTCTTAAGTAAATTGCTTTGATGGTCTGAGCTACAGCTGGGTGAATATGGCATATAATTTTCTGCAGATATGCCTCTGAATTTTTTAATGAATTCCCTGAGACAGTTTGTAGTCAGTTTTTGCAGATATCATAGCAAATCCACACTGGTAAAGAAATACAAATATTACTTTCAGATGCTCAAATATCTGTTGAAAGTAAATTTAGAATGGCACAATTAACCAAAGCGAGAACAGAAGTTTTCCAAACTGTGTAAAAGTCAAACTGAACAGTTAACATTCAAATGTTTGAAAATAGTGCTGTTATTAGTTCCAGAAGGTCATGCAATCAGGGAATAAAATGAACTGTCTGAACAACTACAAATATATTTTTTTGACAAGTCATATACATTTATCAATTAAGTTCATAATTAATTGGAATAGACTGCTGCCGGAGGTGGTTCAAGCACCTACCTTGAACACCTTCAAGAGACAATGGGATGTTTATCTTGCTAGGATCCTGTGATCCCTGCGGACTTCCTGCCCCTGGGGCAGGGGGCTGGACTCTATGATCTTCTGAGGTCCCTTCCAGCCCTAATGTCTATGAATTATTTCCCAACATTATTCTTTGAGGCCCAATTCAGGAAAGCACGTAAACATGGACTAAAGTCTATCTCAGTCCAGCAAAGTGTTTAAACATGTGCAAAAGTCATACTGAAGTTACTGGACTAAAGTACTCCTTAAAATTAGGATCATATGACACAGCTCCCAAGATCTAATGCAAGTTGACATGATTCATACTCTTTGTTCAAGACTTGCTAGATTTTGGCTAAAATTAGAATGAATTTGCCTTCTTTGTACAGAAGGTAATTCTTTTTAGTTATTGCTGAAAACACTGGTAAACAGCCACAACAACAAGCAAGACTGAACTATTTGTGTACCAGGTTTCTAGAGAAGCCATGAAGCTTCTGTCAAGAAACAGAAACAATTACATGCTTGGCATTTTGAAATGGCATGCCTCAAATTTCACCTCTAGCTATCATTTGGTAAAACAGAAAGTGTTTTCCTTGGATACTTCCAACCTTGAGGGAGGAAAGGTTATTTTCCTAGTGATAGAAGACACTGATCCGGAGCTGAGCCAAGCAGCTGGAATCTTTATGGTGTAGTCTTTCGTATACCTTCTGTTTTCAAAAACAGTAAGTGGAGCTATATTAATACAACGCTTCTTGCTAGGAATATTCACAGTAACAAAATGTTCCAATAGTTTCTTCTCCCTTGATACACTGCTTCTTTATTTGTGTTCTAAGAGCTAGCGATTTTTTTGGGGCCCTTATTCTTTTCTATAGAGATATCATTAGCTGTCCCCCCACCCTGCAACCTTGTCTTTAGTATTCTAATGTCTCTCTCCTTCTTGCACTCTGTTTTCTGCTTGTCCTTTCACAGTATTTGATGAAGTGAGCTACAGTTCGCAAAAGCTTGTGCTATATATACACATCTACTTTGGTTAGCCTATAAGGTGCAAATTTCCCCTGCCTTCTCTTTGTTCTATAATCACTGCTGGGATCAGGAAGAGATTATCTGTTGCACTGAACCTGTGTAATTGATTACACCAGTGACATGTGGGTATAAAATGCAGTCATTCTGATTTGGTAGCATTTTACGCTCACTGCACTGATATTAATGACTTACCAGGGTATTGGGCAAGAGAGAATGGGACTGTACCATTCATAACCGTAAGATGCAGGATGTTAAACCCTGCACTCAGGGCTTGTATAATTGTGTTATCTGAGGGGCTCACTGGTTTCTTAGCCCTCAAGAAAAAATGATAACAAATTCAATGTTTTAGAATTCTTAAATGCATTTTCTGTCCCTTAAATAGACCTCCTCCAACTACAGTGTAACAATATTTGGGCTAAGACTTCTAAAGCTGCCTGAGGGATCTGGATATCCAACCCCAGTGCCTCCTCCTTCCCTGGTCTTTTATAGTGTAAGAACTTAAGCGATGTGCAATAATTCTGCATATTTTAAAATCATTTTAAGAGAAACCACAGCAGTATTGATTTACTTTACCTTTTTGATCTCAAAGAAGCTTCCTAAACATGAGTTAAACTATTTACACTGTCCATTACTAAACAAACTATTCATCTTACAGCGTCCCTCCTAAATGTGATGTGGAAGTGAGACCCAGTCACAAAAAAAACAACAACTGGCAGGCAGATTAAAGGAGTGGTGAAAGCTACTAGGGTTTAATAGTGATGAGGATGGGGATGAAGTTGATTGGAAGTTGGAGTTCCAATCTATAAAAGAAGTTAGAGCCTATATTTGTAATGAATGCTTAGATTAGAGTTAACATAAAATACTGATAAAAGTAGAATATACAGATTAGCACACTGTATCATTAGCAATGAGAATATCCTCCCTGGGTAAATTGGTTGTTATAGTACCTGCATAATTCCTATTTACCCTGACATCCCCATTCAGCAAGTTAAGATTTGTCCTTGAGATCTGACACAGCTGAGGAAATTGAACAATACCCTAGGGTTAGCTCATTTAGTCTCTATGCTTAATAGCTTATAGAAATGTTTGAAAAATGAATGATCAACATTTCAAGTGAGATGAAAGTTAAAAGTTCAGCTGATGAAATAGTCTGAATGGAATTTAAGAGCTGTAGAAATGCCCAGTAAATTGTTTAAACAGTGTCCCAAATGTACTGTATCTTTTCAAAAAAGCTACAGTAAGAATTTTCATGAATAAGGCATTTTCATAGGAATCAAAAAAAATTATGTCCTACCTTTCTTATGAACAGGTTCCTACACTGCAGTGTGTTGACCATAGATAGTCTGTGGAAAGTGGCTTAGTTTGCTACTCCTTGTTACAGCTATTATATTATATGAAAGACAGGTCATACTTTCCTATCATTATTCATCTATGAAAGCAATTGATGTTTATTAACATGAGGATGCCATATAACCCCAGTATGCAATGAGAAATTGGCTTACAAGATAAACTCTCTACTTAGATGTGGACAATACTATGAAAAAAGTTTGAAAACCCTTAAGAAATAAAACACTGTCTTGTTATACTTGCACAGAGCATAAGGTGGTGCTATACTCTCTAACTTACCAGTACCACATTGCAACACATGTGGATTATTAAAACTTAAAAAGTGTCTTCCTACTTCTATTTTCAAGCTATACTTTTTTTTTTTTTTTACTGAAAATTGTAATAGAGAATGTGTAATGGAAAAGCACAAAATATACAAGTTGTAGGTAACCTGGATAATCAAAACGGTTTAATCAGCAAGAAAACAGTACAAAAGCAGTTACTATTTTCAACACTGGCCACTGTCAAGTACCTAATTTTGCAGAAATCTAATCTATTGGCATCCAGTTCTAAATGATAGGGAATGATATAAACTGTCCTGCTCTGCATAATTCAATAGAAAAGGTATCTCTAGTGGAAGGGATGGCTTATACTTTTTAAACCATATCTTCAACCCATTTCCCAACCCTGTTCTGTCAAAACATATTCTATCCCATCCTCTTGCACAATAGATTCTTACTCATTCCACACAAGAGGCCCCTTTACAGATGTGAAGAATGAAATGAAACCTTAATATAAAATATGACTAGCTACACAATACTCCTGTGAATTAGAGAAACATCTTATACTTATTTTTCCTATTATCCCTGTATGTAGGAAATTAAGGCAAAGAGAGCTGAAGGTCATAACATCACACGGGGAGCATCCCATAGGTCATGAAGGGAATTTGTGACAGAACTGGGAATAGAACATAGATCTCCAAATGTCAATGACCCAAATGATCACCTTCAGCCCTCATTATGTGTAAAAATACTTAATATTTTACTCACTGTTTTGACCTGGATAAACTCAATACCTGATTCCACATTGTTTTTAACCTTTCCTGAATGGCAACTGCAAAGAATACAATCTACATAGGGATGCGCTTGGGGAGGGCAGAGAGAGGGGGAGGAAGGTTCCTTTAAAATTTTTCTGAGAACACAGACAGTCGGTAATGTTCCATAAAACAGTCTGATAGGCCCCTAAAAACCTGAACCTGGCTTTTTCCTGTTTATTTTGCACATCTCGCTGAATAAAGGAAAACAGGAGGAAGGGTTGCATGATGCTAAGGGTACAATACTTCATACATGCCCTTGACAATTTTATTTTATTTAAAAAAATATCAAAGTGTCCTGAACTCTATTATATTTATCTTTCAGAGTAGTAACATTGGTGTTGGTCCAACTCCACCAAAGCACACTTTCTTATTATTCCAGAAAATAGCTGAACAAAGGAGAAGAAGGATGTGAATATAAAATGAATGAGAACAATTTTCGGGCTGTTAGGTCCTGATCCAAAGCCTAATGAAATCATTGAGCATCTGTCCATTGGTTTCAATGGAGTTTAAAATCAGGCGTCTCCCTCGCAAGGGTGCAAAAATGTGCGTTTCTATTGACATCTATTTACTTATATTGAATAACGTTCAGTTTAATTTTAATGGGTTGCTAATCGTTACTCAGATTCCACAGCTGCTTTTTATTAGCACTTTATTTGCTTGTGAAAAGAAAGAGGGATCCAATATTGGAAAATTATATGGTTCTGCACCCTACATATCATGTTTGAATAAGATGAAATTGCAGGTTAAATTGCATGGGGGTACAGATACCTAAACAGACCGAAAAAAATCCTTGGAGATCATGTTTTTAAATTTTAATATAGAACAAATGTCACTGTCTAGCAATGTTAAAGATATAAAGGACTTCAGAGTTCAATAACAAATACAGAGTTGTTATTTGAAACAAAAATGTAACTCATGAGAACAATCAGTTCAGTTTTCTAGCAGCAGTTATACTATGTGGTCATAACCATTTTTTCCCTTTTACACAGAGGTCTCAAGGCACACATTTTTAATGTATCCTAGCAGTTTCCAGTTAATGTTTTATATTTCTATAGCTATTATTTTCTGTTGAAAGAAAACTAGTAAAGGCTGAGTCAAGAAAGGGAAAACAAAGGAAAAAGATCAATATTAACACTCTACAAATATTGACCTAGCAAAGTGACTTTGTTGTCTTTCTCCCACAGGAATTTATATTGAATGAGTGATTTATTTAAAAGAAAATACTGATAGAACATATTAGCTGAAATAAAAATCAATATTTTTAGGCTATAGTATATTTGCAAATTAACATCCACCAAACTGAATATGATTGGAGATGTTATTTATTTCCAATTACCTTTCTTATAAAGGTTTATGATACGCAGTCTGTCAGACTACTTAAGCATTTAAAGTTCTCACCAACCTAATAAATTATTCAATTTTAAATTTCTCAAAAAGTCATTAAGCGTTTTATCCAACAGTGGTTTCATTTATAAAGAGCACACTTTGTTCTATTAAACCTTCACACCTGAAAAATTATTTTCAATAACTAGATGTCAGCAAAACCAACAATATATAAAAATGTTAATATTTTGTATCCAGAAAGCTCCCTGCAGTGCATTGCTGCCCTTGACAAACTATTAATAAAACATAAGCTAAAAAGCAGAGGAACACTATTCCGTACTTAAAATGCAACAACATGTGTGTGTAAAGGAAAACAGCATAACTTAAATAGGACTGACTTGCAGATACCTTTACTGTGTTTGGCTCAATTAGCTTTGAATTTTTGTTACTGCTGGCACCCATGCTCATAGTGGAAGAAATGGATGCTTTACAACCTTGAGCTGATGAGGGTCTTGAAGAGGTTCTGTTTTCACCTATAATGAAGATATTTATTTTTATGAGCTCTTTCCATTGCTTCTTCATATTAAAGTGGCATTTATTTGCAGTTATTTATAGAAACAGACAAAAGCTAAATGACAAATCCGCAGTAAATGTAACTTGTTTTTCCTTATGATTATTTAAATCACATGAGCATGGGTTAGTGAGCCCTACCTACGTGCCTGTCAGGTCATAAACACGTGAACGGGCTATCTTGGGAAAACAGCAACTGGCAGGAGCAAGACAGAGTTGTGACCATGTGACGCATTTACTTGAATCAAGGTAAATCTGCCCAACCCAGGGAGTTGTACTCCAATTCTAATCCAGTGTATCTTCTTCCCAGGACATCTGTTCATTTGGCAATTATTCCAATGCCTCAAGCATCCTGTCTTATGTCAACTCTTCTCATGTGGCCGTGGCCACAGCAAATTTCCTTTACACTTGGCCAAACTACACAATCCCAGACTTCAATTCCTCTTTTTTGTTGCATTTCTTTGCATTTTTTTTCAATTTCAGCATTATTTGTTTGAATGCAGGCAATCAATGTAACTCCTGCACTTTGTGTGTAAACTTATATATTTGATATCATGCTGGTAAAGGCTTTTAGCCTATAATCTTTTCCCCATTCAGTAAGGTCCTACAACATCTGTGTAACTTTGAGTATGAGAGTCCCACTGAAATCAATGACTACTTTTGTGCTTAAACACCTTGCTAAAAAAGAGCTTTTATAAAAGCTCCTATTATGAAAGCTAATAGACTGGCTTTTTCTGCTCATAAATGTTTTAGGCTCACCTCTGATCAGGAACGGAAAGAAAGAAATAGTCTGAAATGCTACAATATCTGTACATTCATTTTTCTCTCTTCCCTGTGGATTTTGTCACACAAAAGACAACCGATTTTAGTCTTAAGGAAAATTTGATCGTTTTAGATGAGAGAGACAGTCAAAGTCTATTTGAGCAAGGGGCTCAGAAATCCTACTGGGACTTTTCTGTGACTGCCACAGTAGAAATTATTATTAGTTGACTAAATGTTGACTGGTATAAGAAGCATAAAAAATACTCAATTGTCTAGTTCTCTGGAGGGAAGAAGCCCTGACTCCTGAACGGGCCTCCCTGTGTGAACAGTAAATACCTCTTCTTGGTGTTGCCTTGTGATCAGTTTTCCTTGCAGTTCTTGGTGATGGCTTTGATATTGGTGAGGTGGCCCCTTCAGTGGAAATTTCAACTTGACTTCCAAACTGCTGACGCATCACTCTAGTGTCCACTTCCAGCTTCTCAAGTGCAGTTTTGCAACACTGCTCATTGGTTGCCATGTATAAGTTACAAAACTAGAGAATGAAGAATAATCTATTAAGTGAAACATCATTTTAAGGGAAGAAATGCACGTTAGTAAAGGAGGGGTAAATCAATATATGGAAGCTGTTTTCTCTTGAGGTTCAATACTCATTTTATTTTTATGAATCAGACTGACCACTCTCAGGTGACACAGGAAAAAGGAGCCATGATTTAGTGTGGAGGTCACGCTATTAATTGTGTATGAAGCATGAATTCCATCCCATGAGACAATTTATATTATCTTTTAGACATTTGGGGACTCTTTTTATGTCTAATTTTTAATAGAGGGTTGTTTCTTTCCCATGCGGCTGTGTTTACAGGCCAAGTCTTTTGTGGACTGCTTACTGTTTAAAAATTAGTTGTCATTTAGAGGTTCAGCTTGAAATAACATAGCACTAAAGAGATACTGCATGTTGAAAACAAATGTTGGAGACCTGCAATAGTCTCTTTCACAGAAGAAACTGCAAAATGTCCAAGAAAATATTTATAAAATAGACTAAAAGGCATTACACAATGCTAATCCCCACTGAACATCCAAATCTGCAGTAAACTGTCACCTATGCCAGGCCACTGCTCTCTCTCTATGGTGCCAGGTTGTGCCCATGAATACAGTGAAATTCATGAGTAGCAAATGACATGTGTTTAAAGTAGGCTGAATCTGGTCCCTGGGGCTCCAAGAGTCCAGGAATTTGGGGGCAGGGCAAGTGGGGGCAGAGGTAGGACCCACAACTAAAATCTGAGAGAGTGGTAGTGGACAAGCAACAGCTGAATTAACCCACATGCTATGCCACTGCCACTCTGTCCATATCTAGCTTGCAAGGAGCCCCACAGTTCAAAACTGATCTGCAAGGAGGGGTGAGTTTGATACCCCCAGTTTATAGATTTTTACCCAGGGAAGCACACCTCAGGATGGAGCCAGGGAAGCCAAGATCCCATATTAAACTTGGAGAATTGATATCTCAAGCTCTGCTCTAGCACGTGGTAATCTGCAAACATCACCACGGGACCTATTAGTATGGATTAGGGAGTATCTACTGAATTTGATAACTTTATTGCCATATTCTGAGACCAATACAGTATTGACTTTTTTACTGTACCTTTTTGTAGTCAAGTTTGCCACCACTGTTTACATCAGCCAATTTAGTAATAGCATTGACTTCATCTGCGGTCATTTTCTCACCTCTCTGCAATACACAAGTTAGATTTCAGTTCCTAATAAAGAGACTTTTTCACTCCTATACCTGGTTTAGTGATTATTATAAAGATAGTAAATATTTCTGCATTCTTTCCAGAAATCTTATCTATGGCACACAGAAATAAATTTTAGTTTGAATCCCCAAAGTAATGATCAACACTGCAAAAGTTATTTGACCTCTTCAAGCACTATTAAATGCTCAGTAAAAGAATGTATTCAATCTCAAGATCCCATACTACAAGTCCCTCAAGTAAATTCATATTTACACTAATATATTAGCAGCAATGGGCTAATTTCAAAATATCTAACGTTTTGCTCATTTATTGGGCAGCTATATCCACACCAAGTTCTTTATACTGTGTCCTCACAAAATGATGGATTCATTCTAACTTAAATTTTTTATAATTGCAACAACATAGCCCTTTCACACGTTTCATGGTGTGGCTATTAGGGCTGTGCAAAAAACAGCACTGTTCCGTTCCGACTTCAGTTTCGAGGTCTAGACGGAACAGTGTTTTGTATCAAATTTCATTTCGAGTTGAAACAACCTCACTGTTTTGCTTCGTTGAAACAGTGAGGCTGTTCTGACGCTGCCTTGACACTTTGCCAGACCATCGCGCTGGGGAAAGGAATTCGGCCCAGCTGAGCTGAGTTCCCAACCCCAGCCCCACCATCGGGCGGCCCTGGGGAAAGGAACTTAGCTCAGCTCAGCTGAGTTTTCCCAGCCCAATTGTTTCATTTCAATTTTGCAGGTTCGACCTTGAAATGAGTCAAAACAACGTCAAAACGAAATGGATGGCAAAATTTCACACAGCCCCTGTGGCTATAGCTACATTCAGAACTTATTCCAACTTTCCATTTTGCTATGATCACTATTTGTACTCACAGAATACCTTCTGTCAACATCTGATCCTAATTTTGCTGTGGTTGGCACTACCATATGGGCTTGTTTGCTCATCTAATTTAATTTTCTTTTGCTCCTGCTCACATTAATAAAACAGCTTAAAATCCTTTTGCTTTGTCACTTTTTTGTTAGAATGACCACATTTGGACACTATTTATTAAAATCCTTCCAGGCAGCTTTTTAAATTGTACCCACAATTTGATTCTGTGTTTTGTACTAAGATGATGACATTTTATAATGTTGCATTTGTGTTGGTTGTACACAAAAAAACAAGCCCTTGGGAATTTGATATGGAAATTAGTTATGCTTATTGGAATATGGCCCCTCCAGCAGTCAAGTGTCACCTAAGTAAAAGCAGGGATGGGGCTCAGCACCAAGCCTAATTATAAATTTGTTAGAATTTGCAAAGTTTTAAATAGTTTTTTATGTTTAGAATGTAATTGTTAGAGGATCATCTTAAATTCCCCACCACCACTGCAGCAGAAAAGCAGTGGCAGGGGGCAAGCAGTGCAGAAAGCAGTGGCAGGGGGACAGACTTTGGGGAGCAGAGGAAAGTGATGGGGGGGCTAAGTGGTGGGGAAAAGCAGGA